GGATCTATGCCACTGGCAGCATAATAATATTTATTTATTTTGCTGAGACCAAAAACGTTCCCATTTCAGATATCCTCAAGTCGTTCTTTGAGACGATGATAAGATCATATCGAACAGCAAAAGGGATGGTGTTACGAGCAAGCACTTTGATTAGCTATTGCTCAGCTTTGATTGGTGCAGTAAGTCATTGGTGTGAATGCCAGATTGAAGAAACTCTAAACATGGTATCTTCTTTTGGCTGGGACAGATCGCTCGCTTGAAGGAAGCGTACATACCACAAGAGGTCTCATACCAACTTCACCAGGTGAGCTGTGATATGACATAACTCCCATCATCTTCGTTAACCTGACCTCTGCTTTTGCTGAAAGTACTGCAGTGTGCTCAGAGCCGATGAATCGCTCGGGATTAGCACTGTCAGAAAGGAGCTGCCTCTGATGGACAAACAAGATGCACAAGATCAAATTCAAGCACTGGCGTCAGGAGACTATTGGACGACCACGTCAACTGGACCACGGTCAAATTACGAGCGACTCGCTCTCATGACTGCCATCGCCATTTTTTACAATACAGGGCATCGACCTGGCGCCCTGTTCCGGTCAAACAGCATCGCCAACACTCCAGGGCACAAGCATGGGCTGTGCTGGGGAGATATTGACATTCAACGAACTGCAAAGGATAAGCTTGGCTGGACCTTTGTTGGAGTGCTGAAGTTTCGTGCCATCAAAATGCACCGTTTTATCGACTCAGACCAGTAAGCGTTATTGTGTTCCATCTGCTAGAGATTGACTCTTTGACCTTTTCCAGCGTTGATAATTACTTCAAGCTCATGGGAAAGCCAGAAAACTTGACTGGTGATGCTCTCCTTCATGTGATTATCCTGGGTGCTTATGCTGGAGTCTGGGAGGGGCACGACTCGATAGAGACGATTTTTGGTACGCTTGTGCATCGATGTCTCATTTGCGCAGCATCGGGAGCTAATCGTCTCAACGTACCAGGGGATGTCAAGGAAGCAGAACGTGATCTGCGTGTCAAAGCGGAGTGGAAGGACCAGCCGGTCTTTTCACGCTGCGATAAGGAAGGGCGCCCAACGGGTGAGATGTGGTCTGTCGAGTATGGCACACTCCTGTTCCAAAGCCTGTTGGACAGGATGGGATACCTAGGTGCGATCATCCTGACTTGAATGCTCCTGGCCGTCATTCATTCCCTCTTTCATCAATGCCATAGTATATTTTGATGGAGAAAACAAGTTGACCTTCTACTGTTTTCGCAAGCACTGGGGGTCGCTGCTGAAGAAGCAAACTGGTTTGCACGATGCCGACCGCGCGCATCTTATGGGTCATATTCAATCAGACTTTCGACTTGCCGTGAGTCTCACTCACACCTTGGTAACTTTTATCCTGGAGAAGATGTTTGTTTATTTTCTTGATGGGGTTCCGCCAGGGGATTTACGATGGGATCGCTAGAGCAGAGAATCAAGCCGTTGCCTTTGGAGAGGAGGAGGCTGACCCAGACAAATTTGCAACATTTCGCTCTGCGCGTAATCACAAGTAAGATACCAAAGCTTGAGTGGGGGTTGCAGTGGCTAAAACTATCATGCAAGGCAACCTCTAGTGCCCAATACGGACAGTACGCCTGTCGTGAAACAACCTGTGACCGCGTCTGTAATCACGCTCAAAGTCGCCATCCCCACCGCTCAGCACCGATCCAGCAAAATAAAGACCGTTTGCCCTGAACTGGAAATGGTCTGCAAACGACGAGGAGAACTAGCCGATTACCTAGGCTCCCAAGGCTGCCCACTTTGGCTTGTACGTGCTATGGCCATGGTGTTGACCTGCTTTTCTTTACCCTCTTTCTGTCTCCTTTTTTCTTTTTCTCTGTTTGGTTCTGAAGCACGCTCTTCTTTCCAGGCTTTCCCCAAGTTTTTCGAGAATCAAAGCGTGATGGACCGGCTGGAAATGCCGGACTACCTCCGCACTGCCACAGCAGACTACTACGCTGCAAACATCGCTTTCAAGAATTTCTCGAGGCGGAAGGAGAAGGCAAAGCCAAGAGGCCTTCCCCTTTTCATCGCAGAAGACGGGCAAGCTGTGGACAATGGTATTGGACTTCCTAACCAGCCGACCGACATAGTCATTCCTCCCTCCGAGACGATACCCCCAACGTTCGATGAAGAAGGCAACGACCCAGATGCCGGATCAACTTCTTCCCCTCTGGAGACGTGGACCATTTGCCAACTCTACGCCACACTGGCAAAAGTTGCCAAAGACAAGCCTTTGGCAGGAGGCGGCGTCTTCTATGGGTCAAACGTCCCATTCTTTGCAGATAGTATGGATGGGGAGGATAGCGAGTCTGCTGACGATGAAGACGAGCACAGAAATGCTGAAATGCTCAAGGATTTCAACTTCAAGGAGGACAAGGATGACGACTCGGATGATCAGGGGGACTCGGGAAGCGGCGGCGAGGATGGAGGAGGGGCGGAAGACCAAGTTTCACCAGAAGATGTCCTTGAGCGGCTGCGTGAAATTGCCAACACGGAGGATCCGACGTCGGTGTACGCTCAGTGCACGCATCAGGGGTTCCGCTTCGCCAATGACCTCCCCCTCTTTCTCGCACCAACCCTAACGTCTCCAACGGCCAGCCCCGACGACGTTCGACAAACTCGCTTGCTGTATGCGAGGGGTCTCCTTAACCTACCACTGACAACACCTCCCGTCAACACGTACACCTGCAGCTATCCAAGCTGCGAACGCCTCCCACCTTTCAAGGATGTTACCAAGCTGGATCGTCATGTTCATTTGCGCCATGTGAATCCCAGCATCAAGGCTCGGTACAAACGTCATATCACCGGTTGCCCGTACTGCATCTTGTGGGTAATTCAGAACTCGGACGGCCTGGATGGTCTACCAGAGGAGCTCCTTGCCGGACCAGAGATCTTCTCCTCTATCGAAGTCTCAAAATGGGAGGAGATCCTGGAGGAGCACGATGTTTGGCCACGCCCTCGCTGGAAGAAGGCTATTTTCAAGTCCGGACAATATCGTCAACTAGGTGTGAAACGGAGCGTGGATGATGGGGGCGACTCAGAGGATGAAGATGATGGTCAAGGTGTCCACCGGGAAGCGGACGACGACGACGACGACAACGACAATGACAACGACAACGATTGGATCGTGCAAGATATCGATTATGAAACCGCCAAAGACGACTTGAAGGTGGAAGGTGGCAACACAAGACGAATCGTGCGTCTCTTGACGCTTTCACGGAACGGGCGTACCCTCGCCCAAGGCCACTTGCACCAGCTCAAAGGTCACGACCAGTTCCACAACCACATATGGAAGCATTTCCTAGCGCAGAACAAGACGTGTGCGTTTGGATGCAAGCTTGGTGCCAACTGCGACTCAGACAGGTTGCTCCTCCATCTCGAAGACAAGCATGGACTGAGACTGGAGTTTGGAATCAATATGCAGGTGACGAGGCAATGCTGTGGAACAAGGTGCGTTCCCTTTTTTTCCCTCCCAAATTCCACCTCGCATGCTGAAAGTATCTCTCGGTCCTCTCCTCACCTCGTCATTGCTCAACACTGCCTTGCACATGTAGAATCTCCTCCCACACCATTGCAGACCAGCATGCACTCGGCGAACATGTGCCAGCATTGCAAGAATCACACATCAATCCGCAGCAAGAACTTGTTGTAGGGTCCAATTCGTTTGACGGCGGCAGAATGTGCTTCTACTGTGTCGAAAACTCGAGCCTACCGCCTCGCATTCGATACTTTGCGTATGTTCCTATTTCAAGCTCCCCAAAACAGAAATCGGTACAAAAGCATTGACCCCCCTCTTTGAAACAGATGGACCAACTCCAGCTATGTTGCCCATATCACCAAGCACGTCGAGGATGAGGGTTGTCTCCCTGACGGGAAATGGAGCTGCTTCCCCTCATGCTCTGATGGGCCGTTTGAAGACAGGGACAAGCTGGACGAGCACATGCTCATCCGCCACCGAATTCAAATTCGGACAGGTCTTCAACTGTGGCTCGGCAAACTGGTACCGAAAAAGGAGAAGCAGAGACTGACTGATTTCGCCAAGAAACTTGGTTCTGAGCTGGCAGGGCAGAATCCGAACAACGCATCGAAACCAGCGGCTCGAAAGGCCACGCTGCCCATGCTCACAAGGCCGCTGCCGAACCGGGCTCCAAGTTCATCGAACTCCTCTAACACGGTGAGCTCCCGCTCAACGCCGTCGACAAGCAAGCCTATCGCAACAAGCACAACGACCAGCAACCAGCGTGGCACATCGTCCTCGCACCACGCAGGCAACGCATCGACACGCCTATTGACCTCCTCCAACACGACAACCTCCCACTTGGCACCGTCGACAGGCAAGCCTAATCCAGATACAACAAGCGGCATCCTGCCTGGCACATCGTCCTCCCATCGTGCTAGGAAAGACCCTGCGCTCAAGGAATCCCCAGGACCAGAGCAAAAATCGTCGGTCCAACATGCTTTCACAGCAGCCGGCACAGCGTCATCATCAAAACAAAAAGCATCAAAGCCTAGTGCGGCAAGGTCGACACTTGATGTTCTTGCTCAAGCACATCGTCAACAGCAATCTTCTCGGGGAACCGTAACTGCCGGTGTGGTGAGGACAACGACGACGAAGACGGCGACAAGAATAGCAGCAGCTTCGTCTTCATCAGGTCCAACAGGCAGCAGCAAGCAGCAATATGGGAACAGCTAAAGGTAAAGGTAAAGACCAAAACAGGTTAGTCAGCTTTGCAGATTCGTGACGAAGAGCCAGAGTGGGCAGCCCGCACATAGACAGTCTTGGTAGATCGATTCACGATAATAAATATCCTACATGAATGCATTGCAATACGCATGTGGAGCCTGCAACCTTTTGCAGTCTTTTTGCCGCGGGTGCTCGACTAGTGAGACGAGGGCCACGCTGTCAAAAGGGTACTTGCTTTCTGATCATGATCTTAAATTTGAATACTATTGTATCGATTCTTTGCTGGTATATCGGTAGAACATCACCCTGTCATTCTGACATTACGGTGGAGAGCAGGGTTCGACTCCCTGGCAAAGAGTTTCCATTTTGTTTTCCTCCGCCTGGGAGTCGGACCCGACTGGTCTCTTCTCGCGCTGCCCACACCAGCCTTTTTGTTGTCGCCTTTCGATCTTGTCCTCGCTCTATAATGGTAATACCTTGACACCTATTTCTTGTGACCCAATTCGCCTCATGCGCACACCCTCTCCGCTACGCCTGACACATTACGCCACGTCAGTTCCCCCAAGAAGAGCTGGGTTCGACTCCCAGGAGGAGAGTACTTTTTGAGTACCTTTTTTGCTCTAGTTTTCGTAAAGAGCTGGGTTCGACTCCCAGGAGGAG